CAATTTTCTACTAATTCGGAAGTTACTTCTTCTGGGTGTGGTGCGAGAGTTGAATCAGATTTGTATAAGGTTTGGAAGATGCATGATCGGGCTCTCATGCAACTTATCACTGCTACCTTGTCTCCTATGGCCATTTCTTGTGCAATTGGGAGTAGTAGGACTAGAGATCTATGGGTTCGTCTTCAAGAACAGTTTTCTACAGTCAACAAGACCTCTATTTTCTAGTTAAAGTCTGATCTTCAAACAATCAAGAAAGGGGCTGATTCTGTCTCCCAATATCTTCAACGCATCAAAGAAACAAGAGACTATCTTGCTGCTGCTGGTGTTACATTTGTAGATGAGGATATTGTGATCTTGGCACTAAATGGTCTACCTGCAGAATATAATACTTTCAGATGTGTTATTCGTGGCCGAGAAAATGTGATCTCGTTGAAGGAATTTCGTGCCCAGTTACTTGCTGAAGAAGCTACTATTGAAAACAATTCATGTGTTTCCTTTCCTACTGCAATGATGGTAAAGGATCAAGCTTTTAATTCTGGTGCTTCATCATCTTCATATCAAGGATCTTTCTCAAATGGATTTCACAATTCTAATGGTTGTCATGGGAACTCTGGCCAATCTTCATTCTACAATGGGGGCAACAAGTCAAAATTTAAGGGTAAAGGCAAAGCTACGTATAATCAAGGCCAGAAATTTGGTTCGAATCAGGGACAAAAGTTCTATCATTCTAAACCTAAAGTTCGTGATTTTGCTCCTGGTATACTTGGTAGTCCTTCTCATGTTAACAATGGTACTTCTTTTTCCAATGTCATCTGTCAAATATGTTCTCAACACGGACATTCTGCTGCTACTTGTGTGTATAGAAGTGATGAATCTTCTGAGAATTGTCAAATTTGTGATAGAAGTAATCACACGACCAAGACATGTTTTTACAGAAACAAAGGAAGGAATTCTCTATCACAAATGACTGCTATGAATACTATTTTTCTTGGTTCAATGCAACCTCAATATATGAGTGCTATGCCTTCCATGATGAATATGGGTTCTCCTCACATGCCTCCTATGTCCAATACAAACTCAGTGAATATGGTTCCTTCCATGAATGCATCTTCTTCCTATGCTATGCCCACTATGTCTTCTGCAATGCCTAATCAAGTTCCTTCTCAAGTCTGGCTCACTGATTCTGGCGCAACCAATCACATGACGAATGAATTGAGTAATTTGTCCATTACTTCACCATATTCTCAAAATGACACAGTTCAAACAACAGCTGGTGAAGGTTTGCAAGTTTCTCATATTGGAGATTCCCTTTTAAGGACTTCTCTACAGCCTATAAAATTGAATTCAGTCCTTTATGTTCCAAAGCTATCTCATAATTTGTTGTCAGTTCATCGCATTTGTCTTGACAACAACTGTTTGCTAATTTTTGATGCTTACTGTTTTTGGATTCAGGACAAAGCCACAGGGAGAATCTTGTTTAAGGGACTTTGCAACAATGGATTGTATCCCATTCCTTCATTTACTGCCATACCTCATATTCCTCAAAAACAAGCAAATCAAGCCGTTGCTTGTCTTGGACACACTGTCACCTCACACTTATGGCACTCCAGACTAGGTCATCCCTCCAATCCTATTGTTTCTTTTACACTTAGGAAATCTAATGTTGCTATTAATAAGGATGTGTCTTCTATAGTTTGTTAAAGTTGTCTAGAAGGCAAATTTAGTAAACTTCCTTTCTCTCCAGCTACTTCCAAATCTGTAATACCTTTTGAAGTTGTACATAGTGACCTCGGGGGGCCTGCACCTTGTGTATCTGTGGATGGATTCAAATACTATGTCATATTTGTTGACGAATGTACCAGATTTTGCTGGATGTTTCCTTTGATAAATAAATCAGATTTTGTCTCCGTGTTTATTTCCTTCTACCAATATGTTTTTACTCAATTTTCAGCCAGAATTAAGATCTTACAAAGTGATGGGGGGGGGGGGGAGAATATATTAGTAAATTTGTTCAATCCTCTCTTGCTCAACACGGCATTCTTCATCACAAATCTTGTCCCTATACCCCTGAACAAAACGGGTTGGCTGAGAGAAAGCATAAACATATTGTTCAAACTGCTCTTACTATGTTACAAACTGCAAATTTGCCTTCTAAATTCTGGACCTTTGCCTATCAAACAGCAATTTACTTAATAAACAGATTGCCATCTCCTGTTATTCATAATAACTCTCCATTTGAACAATTATATTCTGTAATCCCAGATATCCATCATCTTTGAGTCTTTGGTTGTTCTTGTTTTCCATTGTTAAAACCTTATAACAGCAACAAGTTCCAACTTAGGTCTACTAAGTGTATATTTTTGGGATATGCCTTGAACTACAGGGGGTACATTTGCTATGATCCTAGTCATGAGAAAACCTATATATCCAGGCATATTATTTTTAATGAAATAGATTTTCCATATGCCACAATGGTTTTCAAACCTAAGTTTTCAGTGTCACAACCATCTCAATCTACTGTTAGCTATTCTTCTATGCTTCCTAATCTTGCTAATATCTTGGTTACCCCTTCAACATCCTGTCCATCACCTCAATCATCTAATACGCACCCTTCTCAGCCTAATATACACTCTTCACCTCAACCCCTGTTTCAACCAATACCACAATCCACAAACTCACCTGCTTCTCAATCCATTGTTGCTCAAGATTCTTCTGTGGTACCTGAATATAGCTCAGAAACCTTGCAAGTGGTTCATGATATTCCACCAATGAATCTGCACCCTATGCAGACACGATCTAAAAGTGGGATCATAAAGAAGAAAGTTTTCTTAGCTTCTATTCACAGTGCAGTTGAGGTTGATTTAACAACAATTGAACCATCCACTTATAAGTCAGCTTTCAAAGTTCCAGTTTGGTATAGTGCAATGCAAGAAGAGATTGAAGCTTTGCATTCACAGAATACATGGAGTTTGGTTGATCTGCCACCTAATAAGAATTTAGTTGGCTGTAAATGGGTGTTTAAAGTGAAAAGGAATGCTGATGGGAGCATTGCCAGACATAAGGCTCGGTTGGTAGCAAAGGGGTTTAGCCTGGAACAAGGATTGGATTATGGGGAAACTTTTAGTCCTGTGGTAAAGCCTACCACTGTACGATTGGTTCTTGCTCTTGCTGCACAGTTTAATTGGCCATTAAGACAACTTGATGTTAAAAATGCATTTCTTCATGGCATTTTAAATGAAGAGGTGTACATGTCCCAACCTCCCGGGTTTGAAGATTCTAGATATCCTTACTTAGTGTGCAAGTTACACAAGTCTCTTTATGGTTGAAAACAAGCTCCACGAGCTTGGAATGATCGATTTACTCAGTTTTTACCTCAGTTGGGTTTCAACAATACTTATTCTGATTCTTCACTGTTTGTTAAGTATGTTGATGCTGAAATTGTGATACTTTTGTTGTATGTTGATGATATAATCATCACTGGAAGTGCAGCTGCAACAATTCAACAAGTTATTGCACAGTTAACTAAAGAATTTGAGCTTAAGGATCTTGGTCCTTTACACTTTTCTTGGGTATTCAGATCACAAGAACTGCCTCTAGTTTATTTCTATCTCAAGAGAAGTACATTCAAGACTTGTTGAAGAAATCTGAAATGTTGGATTCCAAACCTGCAATCACTCCTTGTTTGCCTTACAATAGACTTCTTAAGGATAATGGACAACCTTTTAACAATCCAGCACTATACAGAAGTATCGTTGAGGCCTTACAGTATCTTGTATTTACTAGGCCTGACATTGCCTTTTCGGTTCATCAAGTTATCCAGTTTATGCAGGTTCCAATGATATCTCACTTCACTGCAGTTAAAAGAATATTACGATATCTTAAAGGTTCTCTAACTCATGGCATTAGTTACAGCAGTGGAGAGTTGATCTTAAAAGCTTTTAGTGATGCTGACTGGGCAGGGGACCCTAATGATCGAAGGTCAACTACTGGCTTGGTGGTATTTCTTGGAAATAATCTTATTTCTTGGTCTTCTAAGAAGCAACAGACTATGTCTAGGTCGTCAACTGAGGTAGAGTACAGGGCATTGTCATCCACTGCTGCCGAGTTAGATTGGGTGCAACAACTTCTTACTTTTTTGAAGATAAAACTCGAGTATACTCCTGTTTTATTCTGTGATAATATGTCTGCCATTGCCCTATCCTTTAATCCTGTACAACATCAACAAACCAAACACATTGAAGTGGATGTTCATTTTGTTCGCGAACGAGTGGCTCACAAGAAACTCCTTGTGCAGTTTGTTTCATCCTCAGAACAGTTTGCTGATATACTCACTAAAGGTCTCAGTTCACCATTGTTTACCACTCATTGCTCCAACCTCATCCTTGGGTTATCCCAACCTGAGCTTGAGGGGGGATGTAAGAGTATATAACTGAATCATTTAGATTGTGCCATTTGTTAGTAATACAGTGGCTAGATTGAAGAATATGGTTGGGATATCCTCGCTATAATAAGATCAAGACAGTTTATAGCTAAGCTTCCGTAAGAAGATTGTACGTAGAAAAAGTAATAAAGAAAAGTAGATTTCTTTCTCTCTCTAAAGTCTTCTCTCGTCCTTTCTCTTCTATCTTAAGCTTTCCTTCTTCTTGTGTTCTATGTTCATGACTTCTGTGTGATATGGTTAACAATCTGTGCTTCATCCATTATGTTGCTCCTTGCATTATTATCCAATTTTGGGCAACTAGTAAAAATTTTGAAACGATAATTAGGTTTATCCTAACCTTGTGTGAGTGTTGTCCTTGAACTTGGCACTATCTTCAGCGACCTGCAGCCTTGAGCTTTAACATTACATAGCACCGGGAGCTCTGGTTTAGATTGAAGCCACTTGTTTGATGCTTGCGGGTATTTCCAATATACCGCTGTAGCTGAGATCTAGTTCTTCTAAAGAGAGAAAACCGACAGAGCTGGAAGGCAATTTTTCAAGTCTCCAATAGCCATTAAAGTTAGAGACATTTAAGATTGGTTAAACGATAGATAGTTGTTGGGACATCCTTAAGTTGATCGCAGCCACTAAGGTTTAAATCTTGAAGCCTATTTAGATTTCCAATAGACGAAGGAAGCATTTCGACAGCTGTGCAGTGCAAACAAAGATACCCCAAATGCTCCATTGGCTTCAAGATTTCACTCTCAAGATATTTCAACTTACAGATTGATGAGGGTAGCTCTGTAACCGCTGTTTCAATTAAACTTAAGGATTTCAAATGTTCCATTGGCTCCAAAACCTCTGGTAAGTTTTCAAATTTAGAGCACAAATTGAGATCGAGTTTCTCGAGATTTTTCAACTTACACTTGCTGCTTGGAAGTATCTTAAGGTCTTTGCATTGCCTTAAATTCAAGTAAGAAATATTTTCGTTAGACCAAACTGATTCAGGCAACTCCTTTATACCACTGCATTCTAAATTTAAGTATTGAATATTTCCTGGCATTTCTGGAAGATACTTGAGACTCCTGCAGTCTCCAAGATCAAGATGTTGAAAATACGAATGAATTTCAACCAAACTTTTCACAGCCCCTGAGAGTTATCTCCACAATTTTTAGACTCCCAGACAGATTTGGAACTTCAGTTAAATACGCAGAGCCATCCATATAGATAACTTGTAAGTTGACAAGTATCTGCAACAAATGAAACAAAAATATAAAGAATTAATATAATTTATACACTTGATTTGATACAAGAGTTAAACTAGGCATATTCTTAACTTTGCTATATGGCATACGAAGCTCAACTAGATTTTACGGAGAAAAAGTTGACGGCAAAGATTCCAGTGGATAATAATCCCAACAAAGATAACAAGAGAATCGGGAAGGTCTAGAGAAGCGGTCAATTTGCCAAACGAGCTTAACATTATTAGGTTAGACATCTTTTTCAAGTCTACACGTTTCAATGGTTGCTCTTGAAGATTATACCAATTAACCTGTATGGCTTCAATATTTGTAATTTCCTGAAATAAGAAGAAAGTTTAAAAGTAACGCACATTTGGAACAAAGAGTATTTGCGATGGTAATCATGTACAAGTGTCTTAGTTTGGTCAAATATCCAACATAATTGTATCCTCCTCTACTTGTCTAAATAAACAAATATTTGTTTATATTCCAAACACTTCCTCACACAATAAAAATTCATTCAAATTCATCTTTTAACAATCTCACTTCTCTATTATAAAATAGTTTTACTTTGTTGTGTTATCATATAAAGTTTTTACTTTTTTTTTTCTTTTTTTCTAAAACACGAAAAGAAAAAAATTGAATGCATTTGGCTCTTAACGTGTCACTCTTCAGTACAAGATAGACATCCTCATCATTGAACAACCTATTCCGTTTACAGAGATCATCCGTACATTGTTCTTGAACAATTGTCTTTCCCATTTCTTCTAGCATATCGTGCATCTCTATGCTTTTTGATCCCCAACTTGAACCAATTGATATGAGACACCTATTAATGAGAATATCAATTCCGGTTTTCGGAAAGCGCCCACATGAAGCTAGTGTTCGTTTAACCAAATACACATCCTTCCCTTTATGAAAACATGCTATATCCAGAAATATATCCTTCTCATTTTTTTCCAATCCATCATAACTTATTCTCAACACTTTCTGGATATCGTTGCTGGGAAATCGTTTCAATTTGTTGAATCCCTCTTCCCATTCTTCTTTGCTCTTGTAATTGAAGAACAAGGACCCAGAACTATAAGAGCTAAAGGAACACGTCCAGCATAATGCACGGCCTTTTCTACCAACTCCTTATAATATGTTCTACGAGTACTGTTATCCTTGAAAGCACACGAACAAAAGAGCTGAACAGCGTCATCCGGTTGTAATCCCTCAACCTCATAGATCTTATCCACTTCAACAATTTGCCTAAGTGTGCTCCTATCTCTACTTGTGATAATGATTCTACTTCCACTGCCATACCTAAGACGATTGCCAGCTAAATGTTGCATTTGCATTGAATTACTCACATCATCAAGAACAATGAGGACCTTTGTACGCCTGAGCCTATCTTGAACAAAAGTTGATTCCATGGATAGATTTTCTTCCTTTAATATCTCCTTAAGAAGTGTTTTTACCAAGTGATCTAGTCCATTTGGTTTTTTTGAGTTCTCCCTAACATTCTTAAGAACAGAAGAAGCTTCGAATGTAGAAAGAGTTTGCAAAATACAGTTTTAGCAAGGGTGGTCTTGCCAATACCACCCATTCCCCAAATGCCTACAGTGATGCAAGCGTCCTGTGAATGAATGCCCAACAGCTCTTCAATTTGCTCGATGTGGCTTTCAATTCCAAACAGGCCCTCTAAATTACATGAAGATTTACCAATCAATTTGGTGAAAATACGATGGACAACATTCTTTATTAGATCTGCCTCCGTCCTAGCATATATATGTATGATTATGTACAAAAAAGCAAAAGTTAGTCTTAAATATGTTTTACCAAATCTTAGCACAAATCAAACTGTCACAAGTTTAAAGAAAATTTATAACTATAGACAAGTTAAAGAATGAGTCAGTTACCCGGGTTTGTTTGAATAATCAATCCCAGATAGATTGGCTGCAGTCGTCAAAGCTTCCCTCCTTTTTCAAGTTGAGCAAATGCATCCGCATAACTCCCGTGTTGTTTTCGTACATCAGATGGATTGATGTTTTAGAATACGGGTATAACCATCTGGCCATATCTTTCCTTGCACTTGAGTATATGCACGAGTTCATCTAAACACCATGTGGAAGAAGCATAATTTTGTGAGAAAATGATCACCGAAATCTTGGATTTCTCGATTGCCTCTAGAAGGGCAGGTCCGATTTCTTCTCCACTCCGAAGGTTGTCATCGATGTAGGTTCAATTTTTTTCTGAAGTAAGGCAGCATGAAGATGGCTGGTAATACCAATGCGGGTGTCCTTACCTCTGAAACTAATAAACACATCGTACTTTTTTGTATCATCAGCATCAGCAGGAGCAGCAGCGGATGATGAAGAAGCGATATCCGTAACCTCTAGTTTTCAGATGCAGCAAAAGATGTAGTTGCAGAGAGATTAATTGTTAATTAAAGAGAAATAATATTATGACGTTGCAGGAATTAAGTTGAATTTACTTAGAATTGGCTTTTGTCTACATGCACAAAGTTTAAATGAGTGAGAGATGAACGAAAGTAGAAAATGGGGCACATGATAGGCACATATTTTCTTAAAAAAAAACTATAATTTAAAGAAAGATATTCATATATTTGCAATCTTAATATGAAAATTTGGAGAGACAAGGATTAGTCACTTTCACATACTTAAAAAATATTTGATAATTGATAATGCTAAGATGTAATTCATGATTGTGGAAGAAACATAGCATATGCAATTAATTGAACTGAGGTGTCGTGCAAAAATAATTGGAATAATACTTAGGTACTCGCTAGTGAGTATTTTACATACTCGTCCAATAGACACGTGTTCTTTGTTTTAAAAGCTCAAAAAAAACATAATGACATATACATTATATTTTAAAAGAATAAAACATGTGTTAATTTATTATTGGACAAAACTAAGAGATGAGTACTCACTAATGAGTACACAAATATTGTACGAATAATTGAATAATTGTATTTTGCTTTCACAGTTTCCTAAATATGTTACAAAATACATGTACAATGACTACATGTCCATTAAAAAGAAGCAGCGGCAGCAATATCCATTACCTTGAATTGGCTTTTGCCTACATGCACAAAGTTTCAAGGGCTCGCAAAATCAACAAGTTAGAGATGAACGAAAGTGGAAAATGGGGCACGTGATACGCACATATTTTATTAGACCATCTTCAATGGTTGGGCTAAAAACCAAATATTTAAGCTTGAAAAATTTTAGTTTTTAGCCCAGAAACAACTTTTCAGCTCCAACCGTTCTGACCTAAAATTTTAGCTCGGGATTATTAAAGAAACTTAGGCTATTTTTTTTTCTTAAATTAAATTTAAAAAAAAAATATGTAGACTATCTTAAATTAATTTTATGAACAATTTAAACTAAAAAAATTTAAATTCCGATAAATATTGAAAAATCACTAAATTTTTCACAAAGCAAGCCTTCAACTTTGACCAATCTTTCAACAAAACCTTCTTATTTTGATTTGTACCAACTGCACCTTCTTCGCTAATAGAAACTCATGCCAAGCATAAAGCAACATCTTCTTCACAGGTCCAATTACGACCTCTAATATGCTCTCTTGCCATGTTGAACAATTTGGAAATGGAAATAAATGGTAGAAAGATAAATTGGAAGAATTATAAGAGAAAATTGAGTTTTGTGTGGATGTTTGAACAAATACATAGGTATTTATAGAGTTTTTCGGTGAATTTTGAGTTAAATAAATTTTTTTTTAATTATTTTAGCCGTTAGATTTAAATTTGGGCCGTTAGATCTTTTTTTTTACCGTTAGATTTGATTATATTCTATCTCAGCCGTTGGATTCAATGTATTTTAAAATAACATTTTTTAAAAATGAAATTTGAATCTAAACCGTCGGATGGGGAAAAGAGCCGTTAGGCTCGGGGGAAGTGGCTGACAGGGCCTTGACAGTGGGCCCCCACTGTTGGGGACCCGACTTCCCTGCCCTCCCACTTCCCATACACTCCCATCCCCTTCTATTTTGTATGGTAACAGTTAAGTCACGTCAACATTTTATATTGATTTTTTTATAGAGATAATAAGACAAAAAACAATAGTAATATAAAATGTTGATGTGGCTTAACCATGACCGCACAAATAGGAGGAGATGAAAGTGTATGGGAACTGGGAGGGCAGAGAAGCCAGGTCCCTCTGTTGGGAGCAGATTCGAAGCAAGCCTGTGGGTTGCGTCTGCGAGTGGGCGAGCCGAGAGTGGCCCAATTTTGGGCGCGTCCTTGCGGATTTGGGGGGGGGGGGGGGGAGGGGGGAGGGTAGAATTTGGGGGAAATTTTGGCTTTTAGCCCGCCATTGAAGTTGAAAAAACTATAATTTGAAGAAAGATATTCATATATTTGCAATCTTAATATGAACAACGTCATTACCAGCGAAGAAATTAACAGCAGACATAACAAAAATTAATTAGCAATTTAAATGCTAGCATAACATAACACCTAAACTTATTAATTAAAAAGAAATGACCAAAAATACAGAAAGAGCCTTAAACAGTACCAATAAACGCTGACTAACCTTTGACAAGTTACCAATTTGACAAGGGCTTATTTGCTTTCTCCAGCTTCAAAATAATATCCAAAACAATTACTTTTTGCATCATCAGCATCAGCAAGAGTTGCAGCGGATGAAGAAGAATAAGAAGAAGAAGAGGCCATATCCATATCCTCTAGTTTTCAGATCCAGGAAGTAGTAGTTGTAGAGAGATTACTTAGCCACCAATTTCTTTACGCGTATTGCGTTCAGTTTTGAATTTTCCCAATTAGTTATTCACCAATTTCTTTCAAGGAATTTCTTTTGAGACCATCTCCAACTCTGACCTATAACCTATTTTTCTCCCTTTATCCCCTCCCCTCCCCCCCCCCAAATCCAACCCAACCAAGTGAAAAAGTAGACCTAAAATCTAAAACCTAAAACAAAGCTAGAAATAGCCCAAGATTTAGCCTAGAAAATAGTGTGGGCATCCCCAGCGGGATCCCACCCACATGGGCATGTCCCCCAGGATTTATTGAATCAACGGCTAAGATCGAATATAATCAAATCTAACAATTAAAAAAAGATATAACGGCCCAAATTTAAATATAATGGCTAAAATAATTAAAAAATATATTTAACTCAAAATTCACCCAAATGTAGTAATTTTTCAATATTTATCGGAATCTAAATATTTTAAGGTTAAAATATTCATAAAATTAAATTAGGATAGTGTACATAATTTTTTTTTTTTTAAAATTTACTTAAAAGAAAAAATTAGCCTAAATTTATTCTTTAATAATTTCGGGCTAAAAAATTTAGATCATAAGGGTTGGATGACACACCCCGACTTGGAATGTCCACTAGGACCTCGAATCAAGCTGTGCTGGCTGACACCTGGAAGGTGATGAAGCCATAAAGTGTGATAATGTATAAAATGCGAATAAATTAAAAACCTAAAAGTGCTTAAGTACACAAGTGCGCGATGAGCAGGTATGGACCCATTTCACGCGTGATACAGAGCATAGGTATAGTACAGTAAAGTAAGATAATGATTATATCATCATAAGAAGACATATGTACTGAAAAGTGCCACAAATCTTCATCAATACGGAACTCTGCTGCTAGAACCTGGAAGGGTGCAAAATAGAAAATGTGAGTGAGCGAAACAAAACTTTTCAAATCAATTTCAATTACAAAAGGCAGTAACCCCTTGCCATAATACTTGTATAATTTCTCAAAAAATAACAAGCGTGACTATAAGTCAAAACCATAACCAAAATAACAGTCTCACAGCTATGATGTGTCAAATATCTCAACAAGAATAAGCAACCAAGGTGAAATAAATCAATATGAAATGGTATGTCAGCTGGATCCACCTATTGTGGCCTATACGGCTGAACCAATAACTCTTCAACATGCTAGCCAATAGCTCTTCAACATGCTAGCCAATAGCTAAATTACATGTTAGCCAATAACTCATCAACATGCTAGACAATAGCTCATCAACATGCTAACTAATAGCTCATCAACATGCTAGCCAATAGCTCAATAACATGCTAGTCAATAGCTCATCAACATGCTAGCCAATAGCTCAATAACATGCTAGCCAATAGCTCAATAACATGTTAGTCAATAGCTCATCAACATGCTAGTCAATAGCTCAATAACATGCTAGTCAATAGCTCATCAACATGCTAGCCAATAGCTCAATAACGTGCTAGCCAATAACTCAATAACATGTTAGTCAATAGCTCATCAACATGTTAGCCAATAGCTCAATAACTTGCTAGCCAATAGCTTATCAACATGCTAGCCAATAGCTCAATAAGTATACCTGCACACGAGTCGGAACCACCTAAAGTGGTCTGTAGGACAGGACTGGGTGTAAACAACTACGCTCAAGTGCTACGATCACGTGAAGACTGTGCGAATAATTGCGGGTCACCTATGAGTCGAAACCACCTATTGTGGTCTGTACGACAGGACTGTGCACCTACCTTAGATCCAAGGTGAGCGTAAGGTGCGGAAGGTGAACATCACATGAAGGACTGTGCCCTGACCACGGGCGGGAGCACTAACACCGGGGTGCAGGTTTATGAGCTCTCAATGCATCTAATATAACATGTACGACTCATGGGCACGACAATGTCGAAGTTGCCTAGAACATAAATGTAGTCATGCCATAACTCCATCATTTCAACTAATACCATAAACTCAGCTGAACTTACCTGTTTGTCCTGCGTTCACCTTTGCACTTCAAAGTAGTCACAATAATTATGTGCAGATAATATACATTTGGATATGCCATGATGCAATCTAATACTCAACCATAACATAGTGTTTCCAAATATATATATATATATACAACATGGCGTGAAATGCATAATCTATAACGCCCCACTTCCAAATTATTTATTTTCGGGAATAATTATCGGTAATAAGCCCAACCAGACACTAGTTTAATTAACTATCATTACTTATGTTTCCTTACTTTAATTTCTTGATTCTTCACACATTGTTTTATGACCAACATTTAACCACCAAATCATAAGGTTAAATCTCACATTTTCCACCAATGTCCCTTACATTGCCCAATTCCCCAAACAAGGCTATTGTCTCAATTATTTAGTCGCATTTATTATATGGCTGCATCTAACGTCTCGTTAGACTGCCTAAGTACCCTAAACAGGGATCAAGCCATTCGTAGTTCGTACTAGTTCTCCAAAGCATTCACAGAAAATTATATGAAATATTCAATTTATAAACGCTTGTGGAGATGTCAATCTTATATATATATATGATAGAAGGGAAAAGAACCACTCATCTTAGGTCCGCGCTACAACTCCCAAGCACGAATATCGAGACGTCAAGCACAAATATCGAGATGTCACAAACGATCCTCACCTAGAACAATTATTCAGTCACGTCTCTGAACTCTTATCCATAGAACCCATAGTTTACATAAAACACATCCCGAGGATGTTCTAGAATGATTTGAGATCCATCAACCAAAAGTCAACCTTCGGTCAAAGATCAAAGGTAGGGTCTACAACCCTACGTAACTCAATCCGGAAGATCCGCATCTCAGATTTCCGATCCAAAACTTCTAAAGATCCACATTAAACTTCTAGAACATAATACTAAAGTTTCATTACGATTTAACGGTTGGATCTCCACCAATTGCCAATTCAAGTGGCGATCAACGTTTTATTTTACGAACTTACAAATCCAATTTGGGAAGATCCGTACGTCATATTTCTAATCCGTAAGTTTCTAATATCCTTAAATATTACATACCATAATGTATTAAAATTTGGTGACGATCCAACGGTCGGATCGTCAATTCATGCAAGGACCTCTTAATGGCCAACCTGGTGGTCAACTATGAAACTATATTAAACATCATTCAAAATTAGCCTAGGAATGTTAGGTGGAGTCTCGGCCCACGCACCGCCACGATTCACGTAAAATTTCCACTATTTCTAAAAATTCTCAAATTTCACAAAAATGAAGATGTCAAAGAGATGAACAACTTTCATACCTGTCACGAAGTCCAAAAGTGGACAGAAGATGGTCAATTTTGCCCAATAAGCCTGCGGAGTTAAGGCACAGTCTTTCATGTGATGTTCACCTCTCGCACCATACACTCATCTTGGATCCAAGTTAGGTGCACAATCCTGTCGTACAGACCATTATAGGTGGTTCCGACTCCTAGGTGACTTGCGATTATTCGCACAGTCTTCATGTGATCGTAGCACTTGAGCGTATCTATTTACACCTAGTCCTGTCGTATAGACCACTTTAGGTGGTTCCGACTCGTGTGCAGGTATATTTGTTGAGATGTGGATTTAAGCTGTACAGGTCACGTTAGGTGACTCCAGCTAGATGGATGAGCTCTAGATTCAGCCGTACAGGTCACGTTAGGTTACTCCGGCTGACATATCATTTGCATTGATTGGTATCACCTGGCTTACATGTTTTATGCTGAGATATTTGACATGGCATATATGTGGATTTTGCTAATTCGAGAATGGTTTCAATATATGTATGTATTCTATTTTCTGGGAAATTATACAGGTTTTACTGCGAGAGGTTACAATCTTTGATAATTTAAATGGTTTTGAAAAGCTTTGTTGTTGCATACTCACACTTTCTGTTTTGCGCCCCTCCAGGTTCTAGTTAAGAGTGCCTTTTTGGTGGCTTGCGAGGAATCCACGGCAGCTCTGACAGATTATCACCATTGTAGGATTACCTTTGGTGTTGTATAATTAGTATTTGTCCTGCTGGACTGCACTTAGACTACTTATGCTCTGGTTGTAAATTCACACTTATTTCATCTTGCACCTTAACTTATCTAGTGCTTTAGTCAGTTTGGTTTTTAATTATTCGCATTTATTATATTATTATTACTTCCGCACTGTGCACATGACTACGTCACGCTCACGTGATGGCCAACACGCCTTCATTTCGGTTGGGGTGTGTCAATAATGAAAAAAAATTAATCTTAAACTCTTAATTGTAAAGCAGACTATACTAATATAACTAATCATTAATTAAACTAACAAATCAATTAATCAATACCAAAAATCATACAAATTATTCAATAAAACAAAATTTAATTCAACTAATCAATATGAATAAGCATATACATTATTCAATAATTCAATTAATCAATCAATAATCAAGAATTCAATTTTTAACCTAAACAACAATTTCATTCATCAATACTCATAGAATTTATATTGATTATCACAACTCAATAATGATATTAGTGTATTATCCTATAATTGTATATTAATTAAATAAAAATAATCAATTAGGTTTGAAATAATATAAATTTAGAAAATAAAAAAATTTATCTCAAAATTGGGAAAGGTCCGCTAATGTGGCGTTTTGATGCTTTATAGGATTGGGGCACACATTTGAAAATTGAAGGGATTTGTCGTTTGGGAAATGTGGAGCGGGTTAGATAGGAAAGGAGACCAGTGGTCCCCCCGCAATATTATAATTTTTTTTTTAGATAGCAAGCGAAATGATGCCGTTTTACTTTTAAAATTAAACAACAAAAGCCATGCGCATAGGGAGCCGCACAACAGTATGAACAAACAGAAACACCATTGTGTTTTCCAGTTTCTGACCAAACCAGAGGGGTTTAGGACTCCGTCCTAGGCATGTTTTCCGACGAGCG